ACGTGTGAAGAGCCGAGCCAGCGTGTTTACGAGAAATGGCGGAAGGTTTTCCAGGTGTTCTGGTCTTATCTTGTCCTGATCAGGTGCTGTTCGATTTTTCACCAACCAAATGGCATGTAGAATTTCGGAAATGAGAACCGGTGGTACAATACATCCAACCTCCCTTATTTCACATGACGGAAGGTCGACGTGGTTATCGAAGAGATCCTAGTAGTATTCGTGAATGATTTTCTCCATTGCCTTTCTGGACGCTGTAAGTGTTCCGTCTGGGCGCCAGAGTGCAATCATTTTGGTCTTGTAATTGGCGAAGCTTCGGTGGGCTTTGTGAATGCTTTTCCCACTCTCTGCATCTTCGACCATTACTGCTGCTCTTCTCTCTTTAAGATCTTATTTTATCGTCTGTCTGCATAGTTTTGCAAATTTGTTGGAGTGAGTTGGAGGTTGCCGCCTTCAGCTCGTTCGATTCCACGATGGCGTGTCAGCTCGAGTGTTTCTGGAGACAGACGTCTCATGGTGACTTTCGAACTCCCAGCTTTCATAGAGCTAAATGAAGATGTTGAATGAGCCGATCGTATTCTTCGTCGATGCTATCGACAACAGCATCTTCCCAACAGCCAACTAATGGATTGAATAAGTTCTAATTTATAGTGGTTTTGGGATTTCGTTCTTTGAAGTCAGCGACTCTTTCTCCTTTCCGTGAGAAATGAAATTTTGCACGGTAGTAGATGGCCTGATCCTGTGTAGAGTTTTGGGACAACAGCGGCATCGGTACAGCAAAGCACTCGATTTACTATGAGGTAGTCTGTTTAGTTGTGGTACTCTCTATTCTACGACTCCCACTTCCAACGTTGAAGATGGAGTGTTTAGAATTGCGAATTACCATGGATGGTCTTGGTCGTCATGACAAACTCAGGCAGCCCCTCATCCTGTTCGTTCCATTCTAATCCGTGGGTTCCAATGTGGCGTTCTTCAGACGTTCTTCTTGGTCGTATCTTGGTGTTGAAATCTCCAATGATGACCTTGAAGAATGTGTGGTCTTCTCTGTAAAACTTCTCCTTGTCCATATAGAACGCTTCGACTTCTTCTTCGTCATAGTTTGACGTCGGCAGGTAAGATTGTCAAAGCTTCTATTGATCCACATCTTTTTAATCGTAGACGTTCGATTCGGGTTGTTAGTTGCTCGAATGAATCAATGTTCATAGACAAACTTCCATTGGCTCTGAGATTTTAGCAGCGTCTCCGTACTCGTCCTACCCAACGCGGTCGAACTGGGGCTCTTTTGGGGTCAGCGGAATGAGGCCCGTTTCTTTAACTGTTTTTGGCTTTTTGATACTCACTTATAGCTTGCTGGGCTCTAAACGTGGGGCTGGGTATACTCACGGGTAGCTTCCCAGGCTTTCCCAGAGCGGATATGGAGCTTATTTGTTGGAGTTGACTCCTAACCGCCACCCAAATACTTCCCTGTCACTTGATTGCAGGCTTTTGGCCGAATTGCCTCGTAGAATACAATCCGCATAAACTAGAACGCACCCATACACGCTTGCATTAATACGCCTCGTAAGTACAAAAAATATGTGCCAAGTCGGCGCGGCAGAAGCATGGTGCCTTTCCCTTGGATCCACCTGCGTCTCAGCGAAGCAAAGTTCGCTTTTGGTCGACGATTAACCCCCATCCGCCACCTGGGGACACGGCACGTAGCCTCATGACTAACTACCGGCTGCCACGACCGACTTTCTATTAACCTCGGCATTGATCAAGTGATTTTGTTCGTATTTTTTTGAGCAAACGCGAGGTGTTATTGTTCTTTGTTCACGATTAAGCTGACGTTTCGGCGAATTTCGCCTTCTTCAGAGCCTGGAAAGGTCAAGTTGATAGCAACTCACTCGGCCAGACGCCTCCATAACCAAACAAAGAAACCCCAAACCAAGATTTCAATCACTTTGAACACAGCTTCGAACACTCACCGCTTTCTATGAGGTCTCCACTAAGTATGTCACGTAGAGACCAACCGCACAGAAATCACGTGGAAGTATAATGTGCCCCTCACATCAGAAAAGCAGTTTTATATACTGCCCTATATCACGCGTGATAATGAGGCATTCTTCCCTGCGGTTCATTTTCGGATTTCTGGAATTAATCATGATGATGATGATCTGATCTGATGATCAAGTGATTGAAATCTTGGTTTGGGGTTTCTTTGTTTGGTTATGGAGGCGTCTGGCCGAGTGAGTTGCTATCAACTTGACCTTTCCAGGCTCTGAAGAAGGCGAAATTCGCCGAAACGTCAGCTTAATCGTGAACAAAGAACAATAACACCTCGCGTTTGCTCAAAAAAATACGAACAAAATAACTACCGGCTATCGAGATCTCTCATATGAGGGAGACCCGTGGATATCTGGCATATCTGGACTACATAGTGAGTACGTATAACTTTTTAATTACGGTCTATTCTTCTTTCATGGCAGGATATTCTGTGAAATGAAATCACAACAATGCTGAGTTATTTGCAAAACTTCGATCCCAGCTCTTACCTGAACCAGCGATTGCCTTTTTCGGGCTTTCACGTGTTACCTATTGTAGCATTGAGGTCCCTGCTTTACATTTCTCTGGGTCATTTTTTTACCCCAACGGTGCCATCAGCAATCACTTGTCAAGGAGAATAATGCGGGAAGCACAAATCGGTATTCAACTCCATTAAACTGAGGCGGCAGTAGAAATCACAATGAGTCTTGCAAATATTTCAGCATCATTGTGATCATATTACATAACGACTTGTGAGAGCCACCCGATGTATCAAGTAAATGCTACTATCATCTCTGAGAAATCTAGTAGCAAATTGCTTGGCTCTACAGGTTGGAAGGTTTGATGAGCCTGGAGTGCGAGACCGAAACAGCAACTGATTCAGTGTGTGCAGAACAACATCTCCAAACCACTGCGCTTCACGCACCATGTCGACAGTTGAGGAAAAGTTGAATTTTTAATTATGATAAAAATATTGCCTTGCCTCTCAAAAAGATTTCTTAGCTATTTAAAGTTGTAGTCGTTGTCCTATTATCAAATTAATTTATGACAATATTACTTCATCATCAAAAAATCGTCTATGTAAAAGGTCATTTAACCTCTAGCCGTCTCGTTTGTCTGTCATTAAAAAACTTCATTCAGAAATGGTTACAATTCACATTACCATTTGACGATTTGTCGTTGTCCTTGGAATGAATGACGATCAGTGATGGATCGTCTGGGCGATCATCTTCAACCTGCACCTCGTTTATTGGAAGTGCGCGCATCCATTTCATCTAAAACACGCCAGTGAACAAATGAGCAGAAAAATCCAGACTCGCTTTCTACGAGTCTTGTCTTGATTTAAATTTATTAAATGTTAATTTCTAATTAATTAAAGTACTAAAGTAAAGGCAAGTAAATCTAAATTAATTTGACTCTTTCAAATTCTTCTCGAAATTTAGCTCAAGCCGATTTAGATTTTGAGTCTACTGAATATTTCATGTGGACATCACCCATACCGTAGAAGCCTATGAAATCACGCGTGATGACGAGGTATTCTTCTCTGCAGTTTATTTTCAGATTCTTGGGATTTATCCAAAATACTTCGACAGTTCTGCGCGCTGAAGTTTTTGATTTCTATGTGAAGACAGTTACTTTTACTTCAAAATCTTCCACGTTAGACTCTGATTTCTAAAAGTGCCCAGTGGAATATTTGGTTTAACTTTAAGTTATAAGTTAGTTAAGTTTAAGTTATCGACTAGGTGTTTTTTCATACGAACGCACAGTGGGTCCTACCCATTTCGCCAAGGTACTCGTTCCCAAATGCTTGACAAGAAATCGGATAAACCGTACCCGAACTCATGCGATAACCGTTTCTAACGTTGGAGCAAATTCAGCAATTTTCTTTTTTCTATAGACAACCTAGCTTAAAGTATTCGGTGATATTTCAATCACCGCTAGCGAATTCTGTAGACCGGCCTTTTTTAAAGATTGCATTGTAGCCGTGTATATTTCGTTGGAGATAAAGGACATGTTAAACGGAACTTTATTTTCGCTAAACTTGATGTTTGAAGCTATTGCATTTCTTCTAAATCTATCCAGTTTGAGACGCTACCATTTTATATCCGTTGGAAGAAGCTATTTGCCTCGCCAATTTCAAGAATTCTTCCTTCTGCTCTCTGCCTATGCACACAGCCGGGGATGTTCCAAACATGATTCTTACAAGTACCTTTTTGTGTCAGACCGATCAGAAGAGAGGCAACGAACTAGTATGTTTTGCTACTTGGTTTCTGTACCGCGTCGTGATGTAACCATTTTTGGATAAGTTACTTTGGACGCTCAAAGATGGAACCCAGTTTTCTTTCTGTTTCTCTGGGGAAATCCTGATGTGCTTTGGTTATTCATTCAGCAATTCAAAACATTTTGCCATTTCATCTTGTGTGCAGCAAATGACAAAGCAATCGTCAATATATCTATAGTAGAGTAATGGCCAAAGATCGACTACTGGTGCGCCCACCTTGGACATAAAGGTAATGGCAAGGCTTGCAGCCAGTCACTGGCCCATTTCCAACCCTCTAATTTGTAATATTTCACGGACCATCTAAAGATTGAGCAGTATAGGTATTCCTTTAATCAGGCCATTAGCTGCTGATTCGAGCAGTCATAAATCTTCATTGCTTCTTCGTCTTGCATAAAAAGTAATGGACTCATAAATAGCGATGAGTGTGCAAAGAAGCTGCTTCATATTTAATGCGACTAGAAATTAGGTGCCCCGGTTTTTTGCGGTTATCTTGACTCTTCCCGGCTCCGAAGAAGGCGAAATTTGCCGAAAAGTCACTTGTTGTGATGAAATAATAATAGGAGCAATCTCGTGTGTGCTAATCAAGAAGGTAGCGAGTTGTTCCAAACCTACGTAAAAAAAACCATATCTGTCTATTACTAGAAGAGTTATGGTTAGTTAGTGACTGTTAACAAGTTTAAAAAGACCTAAGAAAAAACTAACAAACTGATGAACAACTCACCTTGCAATCTCTGCGGATGTTTCGCGGAAGTAAAAGAAGGATGGTTTGAAAGACGAAAATCACATATTCCAGCATAGATTTTTCAGTGTTTAGCCATTGAACGTGAGCAAATATCAACAAATCTCGGATGTCGATTCGTAAGCCCTGGAAAAGAAGCGGTGAAGTTCGAAGAAAAATGGCTCATACGACGAGAGATGCTTACCTTCTTCTTAAATAGCAACTCATTCTGCTTACGGATGATGCCGATATGAGGTGCGTACTCCTCATGAACTCGTTGCATTTCATTCACATACTCTGCTAATGTTTGCATTTTTTGAAGAGCTATCTCAACCTGCAATCAGGAAAAAATATTATTATCGAAATCTAAGTATGAACTATTGAGAAATAGAAGAGGTGTTGTCTTTCTGTCCCTTAGCGCTTACCATAACAGCTGTGATTTACAAACTTCTATTTTCAGACAGTATGGTTATGGGTACCGTTTGGCGAAAGGCTTTATAAATACTAAGGTCAACCACTGCAATCAAACGGCATTCGAAATAGTGCATCTTACTCCTACTGAATGGAAAACTCGTCCATGATCATAGTCAATAAATGATGGTCAAGGTAATTCTAAATGGGAATGGCTAGCAAATGTAAACACAAAATTGTAAAAAAAAAGTAGAATAAATCATAAGCATGGAAGAAGCACGAAGAAACTCAAAGAACCGTTGATAATAAGAGAAATGTTATGACAACAACAAGACTCATTTTCAACAAATGAGTGGCAACCGTAAACTTAATGGGATTTCCAAGAAAGGATAAGGTACCGTACCTGCTTAGCTTGTAGACTGTCTTGATCACAACACGACTGAATGGCTCTCAACAATAGTGGGTACTGAACAACTCGCTGTACTGGCTTGATCATACGTGACTCGTAAGAGGAATGCTGTTCTTTCGAACTGTTCGCTGCCTGGAAAAACCGTCGAAAATCAGGTGTTGTAAGTTCTTTAAAGAGTAATACACCGTCGGGCGCCTGTGGCTCAGTGGTCGGAAGCGCCCTGCAATACACACGTGGAATTGATCTCCGCGCCCACGGCCCACCAAGCCTTCCATCTCTGCGGGGTCAACGAGTTATACCCGACTTGTTTGGGAGGATAGCAACACTGGCTCGATACGTCGGTAGGCCACCGCGAGTCATTGTAAAGGCCAGATATGCATTCAATCACCTCCAAACGATGACTAATGAAGTCGAATACATGGCGCATCCCTCAGGGATTGATCAATGCCGAGAGCTTTATCCTTTATCCTTTTAATCCATGGATATAACAAACCCAATCATTATTTCTTTCGCATTCTTCCTCGATTTTCAAGCAATTAGTTATTAAATGAAAAATGATTTCAACCACACCTCGGTGACAACTAATGAAAACCATTTTAAAAAAGAAATTTAAGTAATTTTTCAAGTGCACTGAATTCAGTTTGGAGGGAGTGAAAAATTCGAACAGAAAAACTGTATGGGAAGCAGGTTGGGCGAAGCTATAGTAAATCATAGCTGCTTGTTTAAACCAGTAACTTAGAAGCTGAATTTCACACTTTCAATTTTAGACTTCTAAACATTAGGGATAAGAGGAGAGAGACACTTTATGAAAACAAAGAGACCGACTTTCATTATTCTTGATGGTGTTGAGAAAAAGTTATGTCGTTTTTACGACTGTCTTTGATCAGCCGACTGGAAGTCGTTAACCGGTTTTTTGACTTCTAACGGCTTCGGCGAAAATGCCTTCTTCGATTCCAAGACTGGGACTTTAAGACGGGAACCTTATTAACGTTCTACAGTCTCAATGAAGAGCAAACACATCGAAGAGCTTCGTAGATGAAGGATGGAAGAAAATAGGTGAAGTTAAAGAATTATTGTAATCCATACAATATGTGAAGTTAGGTCATACAGATATCTAAATTTAACACTTATTTTTAATTCGAATTGTGTGAGAGCCACCTTTCGAGGCTTCTGGACCTTCACCAGAGGCTGATTAAGGAGGCGGGAGGGGGAAGATGGGCTAATCCTTGACAAGTCGTGATACTACATGTGACTGACTCCGGAGAAATGAAATGTTCGGTTGAACTAGAGCGTGGACGAATCGTGACCTCGCGCGTAATACATACAGACATACCTCTAAGCTAGCTAGCAAATCCTTTCTAGATGTGAGTTCCTGTAAGAGTCGTAGATAACCGGCCGCATATTCTGCATAGACTTTAAAATCACCACAACGATTCACGAAAAGAGCACAGACACGAATGATGGCGTCCTGAAATTTTGGGAATTTCGTTGATTACTGGAAAATGAGGAGGTTGAAGTAAGTCGAATCAGACGACAAAAAAGTCCCACTGGCTCACCCGAACAAGTGGCCGAGCGCTCTGGTCACGGCTGCCGATGTCACCCACAGCTTCTTCCAGTGCGTCCAAAAAGGAGATCTGAGAAAGACAATTTACAAGTTGTCCATTAAACATTGATAACGTTTAAAAACTTTATCACAGGGTTCAATATATAAATCTGTTCCGGCTGCCTTTTCTATTTTTAATACAAGATACAATATAGAATTGTGTAACAATCTTCCTTCTTTGGGTCTCACTGAGTGCTTTCTTTTAATTTTTTAAGGGTTATCTAAATTGGTGCTTTCATTCTATTTAGTTAACCGTTGCTTAAATGGTGCAACAATTTTTGCCTTTCTTTCAGAGCTTTTACTAGAAATAAAAAGTTGAGCAGTGTGGGAATATCTCAAACTTTTTATTTTTTATTTTATATAACCCATCATCAGATTTACTGTGCTGATCCTAGCACATCTCACAGTCAGTTCGTTTCCTTGCACAGATTGTCCACAAGACCTTCCAACCTTCACGTGTGGCTTCGGCTATAACTTGAAGATTTTTCATTTCATTTTGAATGTCGCAGAATGCTGGTCGAGTCGATCTTCCCTGGAGTCCTGGGATAGCCGGGCTGGAGTGTTTCGAACTGCATGGCAATCAATATGTGAACTTTTCTCGGACAAGTCTGCCACCAATTTCCCGACCACCGAGGAATGAAGGAGTTGCTTGGCTCGGGCGGAATCGAACTAGCACCAAATGTCTATCTCAAATATCTTAAATATCTAAGAAATGGTATTTTCTAGAGGAACAAATCCAAGATATTTTTGAGTATTTCCATTTATTGCTGTATGGGAGATTTGAAATATCTACAACACTACTAAATATAAATCAAAGTCTTGCAGTACTTGGCAACGATAAAGCGACACCTTCGAGGAGAATTTTCATTATAAAAGATACAATTTCGTTAAACCAGATATAACAGGATCCATCACCGCCTTGGTATCAAAGTCGCATGGTGATAAATCTCCCTCTGATTCACAAGGGCTGCGACTGCCTGTGGTGGTGAAGACCTGATTCAGACTTTGGCTAGGTTGACCTCGGGACTCCAGAGAACCATAATGGCTTAACCAGCAAATCTTCGAAAAATGGGGATTATGCTAGGGCCCACACAACCAGTGAGGACGGGCCATCAAAATATCAACTAAGTATTTTCGTTAAACAGTGAATTATTTTAAAAGTGCTTAAAAAGAATAAGACAGATTAGTTGTAGACTATAGATTATTGCAAATTTCGCGTTAGACCTCGCGTAAATTTTTCTCCAACAAACCTTACATTTTACGATGAACGATATTTCACTTGACGATTTTTCACGATCTTACAAATACCAAAAAAACAAGTAACGTTAATAATTGTTTTCTGCCTCAAATTACCTGCATTTTTTGCAGTCTCAGAGCAGATTCCATGATTTCACGAACAGTTGGAATAGACAGGTATCGATCGATCATCTATAAGCGTACGATTTCAGTAAGGAAGAAGCGTAGGTAGTTCACTAAAACTTGTTTCGATCCGACCTCCTTTAGATCGTCAACGTATTTCTTTTCAGTTTGGACGAGTTCGTCAATACTTCGTAAAAGTTTCTCTTCAGATTTGATTTGTGAAGCGGCTAACTCGGACAGCGGTATCGACTTCGGTGCACGTTGTATTTCCTGGACGGCATTCTAAAATCAAATCAAATTTTTTAAGAAGGAATATGAAGAAAAAAGAGTGAAAGCATAAGAATTACTGGATAAAAATATGAAAGTTTTACGACTTCTTCATTTCTATTTTCCTTTGGCCATTTGCCCAATCAATGAATTTTATTTAATGTCTATACGAAGCTAGCCCTCCTTTTTCAGTACTTTAAAAACCAGCTTAAAAAGAAAACTTTGATTAAAAATTATACTCATAACCCTCCAAGGCCTAAGTATAATTTTGAATACCCCAATCACCATTATACAGGAAAACTGGAAAAGAGGGAAAGAAAATGAGATGTTTAGTTGGTACGAGTCGTAAAAGAATCGGACGTGAAGGAGAATTTCCATAGTTCTTTTTGTCGTCCTAAGGAATACTTTCTTAAGCAATTCATTTTTTGAGTGTAATCGACTCTCGAAAAGGAAAAAAACTGAGCTGGATGGTTGTGTCGAGAAGTTTCTCACCTTTATGGATTGTGAGTCATTTTTGGCTGGATTACGGCTCTTTCGAAGACGAATGACTCGTCCTTCCCTCAGCATTCTTTCTACATCCGCTGCGGAACTGACCTGAAACAAACAGCGCTCAGGTGTTCGTAAGTCATTCACGAGGGAAGTTTCATTTTATGAAAACTGGTTTGGTATGAGCCAGAGGTTGGGGACAAGACATGGCACGCCAAAGGAACATCGGGGCGTCAGTTTACCTTTGAAATCAGCTTCCCATCAACACTAACGACATGGTCACCGATGTCTGCTCCTTCGGGGGCATATGACGTCATTCCGCGTACCTGATTAGAGAGAACAATCAAATGTTAGGTAAATAAATACTAATAAATGGTAGTTTCGTGAAGTCGATTGAGATAGCGGTATAGTGTTCCAGGATAAACTGAATCCAGTTTACCCGATTAACTCTAGATTTAAATTAAGGCAGAATATTGCTCTCTAGCCGAAATCCATGACCAGCAAATTTTATATAATTTAGGAAAAAGTGATAGAAAATGAAAGGTTAAGCCTCCACACAAGAAATCCTCTACAAGGTCGCCTAACAATGGGTTGTGATAGGGTATTTCTTGCACGTGAAACATTTTTCTGGAAAAGAAGAACTATGAGGTTAACCCTTGCCGAAAAATACCTTCATTAAATTGTTTAGATCCACTCACTCTTCAGCTTATAGCACGAGAAAGTGTATCACTTTGTGTGTCTGATGTCATCTGGTGGATGAAACTCATGGCTAAACATAAGTTATATCGGAAGGCTACCTCAGCTTTGATTCCATTGTCGTTGTAGGCGTAGATGGTGAGACCTAGCTTAGCATGTCGCTTTTGAACTTCATACTCATCACGAACTCGTAACTTCCAAACACCGTTATCGACACGAACCAATTCGAACAAGTCCAGCTAAAAGCGCTGCGAGAAAAAACGCATATGTGATCAAGCGGCAAGTTTAACTTCGTTTGCACTACGAAATACGTAAAATTACAAGCTAATGTTTGCTTTTGTTAACTGTCAACTTGGTTTTTTCTTCGGTGCAAAGATAGATTATAGAGATAGATTATCGATCCTACGAACTTCTACGGCTAGTTTGGCGCATATCTTCCTAAGCAGTTCGTCTGGATTCGCATTCTCATGTGAGATTACAGTAGTTTTTCCGTTTGGGAGTTCTATACGAAAAATCGACGCTGATGAAGATGACGGACAATTCATGATGATGTCACGAGGTGACGTTGAACACAATGCATGCAAATCGTTCACTCGAACGTCCACCGATTTTCGCCACCTGCAAGAAATAAATGGAAGCACTTACTCAGATTGCTGATAGCAACGTTAGGGTAAAAAACTGGCTGAGAGAAGTGCAAAGCGAGGGCCTCGGTTGGTCTGGTTGATAGCGTGTGAGTCTTCCGAAACAGTAATCGCGGGTTCGAAGGCCAACTGAGGCTCCGAGCTGTGCTCATATCTCATATCTTAGCATCCCTGTGGTTGTATTTCACATAATACTCTGCCATTAAAAAAGAATGAACAGTGAATAAATTTCAAGACATTGTGAAATTATCAGTTTATTAGTTCCCAAGATCGACTTTCTATTAACCTCGGCACTGGAACATGAATGCGTCGTTTTCTTGTTCAGCAATTGCGAGGTTTTTAGACAGCATACATTTACTTCCATAGAAAACACAATACAATACAACACTAGCTGACGTTTCGGCAGTATCGCCTTCTTCAGAGCTGCTTTTTCGTGACTTCCAATGAGGAAGTTTAGAACAGCTGATTATAGTCGCATATGGTTGAGGACTGCACCATACCACATCAGAAATTCGGACTAACTAACGACGTAGAGTAGACGGTGGTATTTCAACTATCGCTAAGCTACGCTTACTTCATCGCTAATAAAAGGGAACATAAACGGGACTTTCTTTTGGCCATGTGTTTCGCTTGGGTGCGTCGCCCTCCTTCTAAACTTATCTCGTGGGGTTACTATTTCGTAGCCATTGGAGATGGCTATTATTATTCGATTTATTGAACGAGCAGTCTGAGTACATTAAATTCACCCGGGAAAAACCGAGAAAAAAACTGGCTTCCGTCTCTGAACGTTGAAATGAACCTATCAAGTAGCGGTTACTTGACAAAGTGGTACCGAAGACCAAGTAACAAGAACATCTTCGTTCATTTCCTTTCTTCCCACCCTTCACACACAAAGAGGGCGCTTGCGAGAATTATGTTTCGAACAGCCACCTCTGTGTGCACAAATAGGGAACTAAGGAAAGAATCGCGCAACTTGGCTGAGGAAATAGCCATCTCCAATGGCTACGAAATAGTAACCCTACGATATAATTTTAGTAAGAGAGAGATGCCCCAACACGAAGGGTTTGGCCGAAACAAAATCCCGTTTATCTTGCCCTTCATCAACGATGAAATTAGTTTAGCGATAAAGCGATGCTTGAGAAGGGTAGGGCTAGAGGAATCGATAGCGATAGTTGAAATACCACCATCTACTCTACATCTTCAGTTAGTTAGTAACCGCCTTTATGACCGTCTCTGTGAAACAACAAATTTCGTAAATTGCCCTTACGGCAGGGACGGTGATTACATGAGTATGGGCGAAACGGGCAGACCTTTGTGTATCCGTATAAAAGAACACCTAGATGGCAAACGAAATCTAAGACGAAGCACCCCACTAGGCACGGATAGGATACAAAAGCATAGCGGAGACGATTTTGAAGTAAAAGCCAATATCCTTGCACAGGAGACTGAAACACCAACGCGAAAACTTCTTGAGGCTTTTTGGATAAATGCCAAAAACCCCGCAATGAATAGCAGGGACGAATGCCCAGAGGTCATACGCGACCTGACCCCGTATGTTCGCATCAATTTCTGATGTGGGATGGTGCAGTCATCAACCATATGCGACTATAATCAGCTG